TATCCCCCCCTATTTATTCATCCTCACACTATAAAAAGCCCTTTCAAGATTGTCATATACCCACAATAATGTTTCTTGCAGAAAGAAAGAAGTCAGTAACCTGTATTGACATCACCACCTCACCCCAAAATTCTCGTAATTACAGTACCATGACGAGGGCACCTTACTCATGCTCAGTATTGCATAGGTATTCAAAAAGTAAAATATTATACACTATCATTGGACAAAATAATATTTGAGATGTTAATCATTTGATCTGATTGACAGTGCATGAGTTAATTTCAAGTGAAGGATTTTTGCTTCAGTTATATTTCACTCCTACCAACTAATTTACTACAAATAGCTGCTATGTCCTAAATATGTAATGATTTGACAAGGATAGTCTAATTCATCAGCCATTCATAGTTCATTGAAATAATTAATGTCTCATTTATGTGAAAAAAATGGAAATGTTTGTGAAAATTTCCCATTGTCTGAGATGCATTTAGTAAAAATTGGAATTAACATGTAATGATTGAATTATAATTCTTGAAGTTATTAAAGTAAGAAAGTTAGAAGATAGAAGTATAAATCTGCTCATGTAGGTGGAGGCAAAAGAAATGGAATGTCATTATTTGTAGAATATAAATATGATACAGTGAATGAGCATGTTTCAAAAATTTAGCTGTTTGGATTATACTTCATAAGAATAATACAGGTTAAACATTTGTTCCTGGGATTATAAATAATATGGCTAGAGGAAAAGCCTCAATTGTGAAAAAAGATTATTCTAATAAAAGGATCCAGATACCAACTCAGAATGAGATTGTTATAGTATCTCTAAACTTGGTTTATTTAATATGTTGTTTTAAAATCTCACATTGATTTGGAAGGCCTCTGAAAATCTTACACTAAATTTCTTACTTCAAATTGTCTCTACTTTGTTTCTGAAACTATCTTCTGCCCAGTTGAATTTCTGTATGCTGCAATTCCCACTTACATAATCTTACATGTTACTTCCATAGTATGTGGTCTAATTTTGTCTTAAATTGTTTCAAATGGGTTATTTTCTTCAAATAAATTCATTTTATGTCTGTGAAAATGGAAGAGCCTTTCAATTTGAATAATGGATAGAATAAAAGAAGGATACTTTTTAAGAGAAATGGATGTGATTATAGGACAGGACTTGGACAGTCCTGTTCCTTTTCAATTGCCTTTTTCATGTATAAGCAAAACACACACACACAAAGAGTTAAAATAATTAAAGAAAGCAAGAAAAAAATAATCATCTTAAATTATTTGAATGTAGATATCCCTCCAGGTATTTCGACCTTTTGGGGGGGTGCTAAGAGTGATTGCTTAGATATTGATTTGACTTACTAAAAAATCAACTTGATATTCCAAGGATAGAAAATCAAGTCAAATTATGATGGTCATCAAAGCAAGTTAAACAGTAATAAATGTTCCTGGAGAAAATGTATTTGCAGTAAATTTTTGATTTCCAGAATTTCAAGTTCTCTTATCTTCATTAACTCTAAGATCAATGTAAAAAAATGAATTACAAATAAGACATAAACACCATAATATAAATCTATGATTATAAATGTGTTTGTGTGTTTGCTTTCAATAAGATTTTGATACTAAGGTTATTTTATTAAAAATCTTCAAGTTTCTAAAGCAATAGTGAGCAAAAAATTTTTTGCACATAGGCCCATTCAGAAAAAATGAAATGTTTATGAGCTGCATGTATTCCACACATTGATAACTCATGTTGCATTAATTTAGATCATGTTGCTTACTACTTGTTGAACAATACCTAATATCTAGTAAATATGACAAATATAAACATCAAAACATGTTTGTGCATTGATAATGTATCCTTTAAATCTCTACAGCACTGAAGATTTGTTTGGTATATTTACATGTATTTATGCTATGTCTAACATAACATTCAGAGAAAGATGTTCATATTTCTTCTCTACTTTGAAGAGGAAAATAGATTCAGTGATATAAGACTCACTGACCGAGTTAATGAAGAGAGTTTGAGTAAGATACATTTATCTCAACCATTGTAACCCTTTTAGCCAGGAACAAACAGCCCCAGGATAAAGTCGCAGTAAAGCACCATCTTACCAGCTCTAGCAGGATGTTCGTTTCCATTTTAGTCAGTGGTGGAGTGACCTCTGCAATAAAGAAATAGTACTGCAGATAATTTTAGGAAGTACAATGAAATTATTTCTTTTCTGAGATTATTGGTACTTTCCATTTTGCTCAGGTGATTTGCAGGTGTCAGAAGCGGTGGACAGTTGCACTGCCAAGACTCTTTTGGAAAAAGTCCTATAGGCAACTTTGACCCTTACAGCAAATGTCCTTCAGAATGTGTTTTCTACGATTGATAAATATGGTCACTGTGTGGATGATTGCGCATGATAAGAGCTGGTTTTAATTTTTCAGGTATACAATGAGAATTTATTTTACAACTTAGCTGATTCAGATATTAATATATTGACTCATTTTTGTTTCACTAAAAACCTCTATATGTAAGGAAATTAAATGAAGAAACACAATGATTCCTTTCAACTTACCAATTCAATGAAAAGACCAGATTCATTACAGAAATATTTGGGTTGGAATATGGTCTTTCAACGTCTTTGTGCATGATCATGAGCAATTTGATGAACCTCTCTGAACTTTTGTTTTTCTACCAGAAAGTGAAGAAATATTTCATAACCTAGTGTTATCAGCATCAAAAGAAGAGAATATTTGCTATGACACCAGAGAAATGGTCTTTAAAACTATAACAGCAGAAATTGCAGCAAAAAAACCAAAAATAGGTAATTACAGTAAGAAACTCGGCTATCTAGATATTAGGTGGAAAAATAATCTTTCCTTATAGCAGACTGGATAAGTATTTGTTCTTCCAGATATCTACTGTTCTTAAAATTCTTTTGAATTGAGAAAAATGATCCAAGAATTTAGTATGTCCTAGAATTTTTTGTCAACTCTCTTGGTTTTTTCCTCAAAGTCATGGATTCCTTTCTCTACACCTTGAGAAATGTCTTCATGTTATCAAAAGGTGGGCAATGAATTTGGCCAGATAATAAAAATACAAAATATCTAGACAAGAAATATCTGATAAATAGCATAAACACATTTTTGTTAACATAGTCAAACACCTAAACAAAAGTTACATTCAACTTTATAAGGAAAAATTATTGTTTATATGTCTATTATTTCATCAAAGCTAATAACATGTTCAAGAGAATACTTTGAATTAAAATCAGTTTTACATTTAAAATTTTTCCTTAAAGTATTTTAGTATTTTGGTAGGTCTAATTTTTTGAGTTCTTTATATATTCTAGATATTAGCCCTTAAGCATTATTCCTAACAGTATCTCTGAGAGAAAAAATTGTCTATTTACATTTGAATTAGTAATTTGAACATTTATTTTATGTCATTATATGGCAATTTTTAAATTCTAAAATTGTTATTTTATTGACATTGTAAAAATGCTGGAATAACCAGCTTTTCAGGACTTGAGGTGAAAATGATTGTGCAGAGTATGTTGATTATTGGTTATTAGGATGCAAAAATAAAATGACAAAGCAAGTTGCTAAAGAAATTAGAGGTTTACTTTCTTCATAATATCCCTTATAATCACAGACTATTTTTTTTCTGTATGTTTCCCGAAATGTGCTGATATGTACTTGAGAATTAGTTTATCTGGCTATTTTAATAATGATTGTGTTTCTAGGATTGGTTTCTAAATATAGGTAATAAACATACACTACCATTATGCTATTAAGGAAATTAAAAAAAAAAAAAAATTCCCACTAAGCATTCTACCCAGTTGGGTTTGCCATGAATATAATTGAAAAGGGCCTTCAAATGTTTCCATTTAAAAATCTTGGTGGCTTTTCTCTAGGTTCTAATAAACTATATCAAAATAGAACTCATTTCATGGAAAAAAAAAAAAAAAAGGAATTCCACAGCACTTCTTTTTAATAACTGTTCAGCTACAAAATTTTATTGGTGTCTTTTTATGTTCCCCCTAGAGGATGTAATGCACAAAAGCATTGCCACGGAACATATAAAATTACAAATGAAATTTATTGTAAAAAGTAGAATGTCTTCTAGACTGGTGTCAGTATTTATTTCATTCATAAACCAAAATTGCAGTATAATATATTCATTGTCAGCAAGTTCATGTGTGTAAATTGCCATCCAATGTTATTGACTGATATAAGACAGATATTGAAAAGACAATTTAAATGTACTCTTCCAAACATAAACTGTTCCACAAAAGCACTGTAAAAACTCCTTCAAGATTTTGGGTTGTGCTTGACATTTACGGTTAACTACATAATTTGGTCGTGTCATAATCCATTGTGTTTGGCAATTTGGCATTAAACGCCTGCAGAGCGGATTGGATCCTCACCACTTCACTAGTTGACAGCTTGAGTCTATGACGAAGCAAGCAAGAGAAAAGATCTAGACGACGCTGACCAGGTGGGGAGAGTTTATTTACACGGTCTCTTATCTCTAGTAGTTGCAAAAGTGCGGAGTCCTGGGATCCCTGAGTATAGGGGTAGTCCAGTTGCAAAATCAGGTCCCGAATTGCTTCAGGGTCAAAGTGCATGCTGTAGCCAAACACTTGAATGTTGTTGATTTTCATGTAGCCCAGGTTCCGGGAAGGATCAATAAATTCCAAAGGTTCGTAGTAAATGCTCTCATTGCCATTCGGGCCATTTGACTTGATGCGACTCCTCAGGTAGATGTGTACTGTCTCAAAAAATGTCTTCCATTTGTTCCCCAGAGTCAGTGTCCAGTTATAGCATTGCAGGGGGAGGTCCAGCTTAGTCCGCTCCCAGTCTGGAAAGCTGTTTTCATTCACAGGCATGAACCAGCTCTCGGAGTGGCTGCCTCCAAAGGGATTGACATAAATAGCCAACACAGGCTCCAAGGTGCTGTTTTTAGTTAAGCAAATCTGCAGAGAGATGCCCAAGATCATGTGGACCAGACTTGACTTGTACTTGTTACTCTTCAAAGTGAGGAGCATCCGCTTGCGCCAGGAAGGGTCAAACCAACTATTGAGGCGCATGTCGTTGCTGATAAAAATGGCATGGACTTCGATTCGTCTGTCCGTTTTCTGCAACAGGTACTTCATCTCCAGATCTTGCAGGTCAGTCTCAAAGCCAATGTAGTGATCAGTGGACTCCGCTACTTCAGGCTTGCAGAGCCCCTGACTCAGCATGTAGCCGGTGTTGCAGGTGCCACAGCGGGTGCGGTTGTCAGGTGCGCAGGTCAGGCAGGCGGAGGCGTCGCCCACCGTGCAGGGCAGGAAGGCCGTGCAGACCACCTGGTCATTGGGACAGGTGCAGGAGTGCGTCTCTTCGGAAAAGCTGCCCAGGAGGCCGTTCTCATTGCAGTAGAGAAAAGACTGGATGCGGTTGAGCCAGTAGGTTGACGTTCTAGAAATACAAAACAAAAGGAGTCTATATAAATACAAAGCCTTAATGCGTATTTGTGTGTGCGCGTATGTGTTCTGTCACTGAGAAAAAAACCCCAAATTAGCAACATTTCGTTCAAGCTTGAATACTCTAGATTCTTTTTATTCGATATGTTTGCAATGCATAATAATTACATTCATTTTGGAGAAATGGTACTAGAATACTCCATCTCTAAACATGGGATATGTTTTATATTTTGAAAGATTGTATGCCGCCACATTGTGTTCTTAAAAGCTGATTGCAAGTATAATAAGCTTGGTTCTTGTTTTGAAGTGATAATCAACAACCGAAAATAGAGAAGATATTTGCTGTTGTTGTTGTAGTTGTTGTTTGGTACCTGGGATCTAATTTAGGACCTTGTGCTTGCCAAGCAGGTGCAGTGCCACTAAGCTACACCCCTGGCCCAAGCAAATAGTTTTATTATTAAATATGGAGTAAACTTATAGCATATAAAATGCAAGGTAGCGGCACATAGTGCATTAACTATTGCTGTTTTCATTACTTTGTTATGAAATTTTGTTTGTTTATCATAAAATAAAAAAGATTGCTCATTGATTATTCGTTTCATAGATTAAAAGTGCTGTAGGAAACCTGAATATTACAGAGTAAAAGAAAAATAAACAACTGAATATGTTAATCAACATTTTTCCCCTAGAGAGTTACTAACATTGAATGTACAAGTACCCATGGAGCGGGAAAATATTATTTAAACATGTTTGGTTTTACTCATTAACATCTACTCAAATATTTTTAAATATTTTATTAAAACAATAAACTTAGTGGAACAAAAACAAAAAAATAAGCTCTTTTTAAAAATAAAACAAATAAGCTCATTCAATAAGAGTTATGTGTGTTAAAGTGTGCAGTCATCAACATTTTGTCTTAGGCTAATCATGAGGACAGTTTAAGATTTTTTTTCCTATTTCATTATATTATTCAAACTCTTGGCTTGTTGAAAATCTCAGTACAATAATGATAGCAAAGTGTTGGCCTTGTAATCAGATAATTCCTTGTTATTAGAATGTTGTTTTTCTATTCTAGCTGAATCAGGAGAAAAGTTGCATGAACTCTATAATCTATGCTTCTTGCACATGAAAAACAGAAATAATAATGTCTTCCATGTTGAGGTTTTATGACAGACACATTAGTCTAAAAGCTACATGGTTTTATTTAGAGTGTAGTGTTGTGTCTGTTTCACAGAACTCACTCAAAATTGAATCTATTATTGATATTATGCCTTTCCAGAGTTCATATTTAGCGCATTTGAAATTTGAAATTGTCTGCCAAACAGGTATAGTTTAATCAATACATTAGATTTGTTGGCTCACTGGTGTTCAAATAATTTCTTCAGAATACTTGTAAAACTAGGTATTAATCTGCTTAAGTAATTATTAAAATAATTAAAAATATTCAAAGTGGTTATTTATATTACACACAAATTTGGTCTCTGACTTGCTAGCCTAGGCAATATTTAACACTCTTTTTAAAATTTTTTAAGGTTAGCTTGTCCTTGTTTCTACAAATAAATTAACTAGTTCTTCATTTTCTCTTGCAGCATCTACTTACCTTTCTTTATGCCTTGACCACCTAAAATAGCATATGAATGTTCTCTGTACACTGTTCCACTTATTAAATATAATACCTAGCTTGACAGAACCCCATATATTTTCTTCAAAGATACATACTAAATGCCCAGTAGAATAATAGATCAGAGCCCTTACTGTTTTTTGAATACTTTACAAAATACAAGATAAAGAAAGATAAAGAATATATAAGATAATATAAAGATTAAAGAAAGATGCTCCAATAAGGTATTTAAAGTGAAATTTAAACTTTAAACTGATCATTTCCAGCAATAAAGACGTCTACCTCTCAAGCTTCAGGTAGTAGAGTTATACAAAATAGGCCTTGATGTTTGCACTATTAACACATACATAAGCTTTATTTGTTTCACTTGTCTAAATGCAGTCACATCCTACTGACCCAGAAGAAAAGAAAAAAAAAAGAACCTTAGCAAACCAAAAATATTGTCATCTTACTTATTTATCACATTGGAAGCACTGATTAAAATACTAAGCTATCAGCTTTATTCTATGCTTTGAATATGTCCCCTAAAGGTCTTAGAAAAATGGTTCCCAATGCAGCAATTCTGGGAGATGGATCTTGAAACTAGGCAAATTTTCACAGGAGTTCTACCCTCATGCACAAACTAATTCCTTATCATGGGAGTAGCTTCCTTAGTAATGGATATGTTTGCCCCTCATTCCTCTTTTCTCCTCTTTGTTTGAATTTCTACCATGGGATGATGCAGCAAGAAGGCCCTTACCATTTTTCCCTTTCTCATATTTATTCCTAAAAGAAGAACCAAGCTACATCTTGTAAAGACACAAATTCCCAATTATGAATGTCATCATACTGTACAATTAAAATGTACTGATAAACACTTAAGTTTTATTCATTAAGAATAAAAAAAAAGAAGGCCCTCACCAAATGCTGATGCCTGTATCTCAGACTTCTCAGCTTTCAGAACTGAGCTGATAAATTTCTGTTCATTAAAAATTAATTAGTCTCAGTATTTTATCAGCACCAAATTCTCTAAGACAATTGATTTCAAAGTTTCTGTAAGTATTTTTCTAAAAAGCTGTCCTGTGAGCATGCTCAAGTATTGTGAAATAACAAAGAGTGAGCTTTCTGGCTGTGCGTTACCATTCATGGAAGTATTTGTATCCCTGTGACTTTTATGGTGGTGCTTTATTTTCTCATCTAAGAGTACGTATACAAAAAGCATCCTCTTTCTGGTTTATGAAACTGTTTGATTAATTATTACTGGGTTTAGTCACAGATTACAGAAATTAATATTACCTATTTTTATGCATTTACTGGCTTGTTTATTCCATTCCATTCCATTTTCAATCAAACCCTCCCCTTCTCTCCCTCCCTCATCCCCCTCTTCTTCCTTCCTTCCTTCCTTTCTTCCTTCCTTCTTTCCTTTTTCCTTTCCTAATTTATTCTCTTTAAGTCCCACTTGCTTTCTTTTTTTTTCTGTAGTTGTTTCTATCTAATATAAAGTATATAAAATATATACCCCATCTGGATGGAAAATTATATTTTCTTCCCTGAAAGAAAACCACAAATTCTCTGAGCCAACTTATCTCTCACTATAAGCTCTAATCATGTTTGGAAATCATAAGGACAAAATAAAAAATGAAATAAATAGACCCGAGGCGAAAGGCGGCACTCGCAAAGCTAGGACACTGTAGAAAGAATCATTTGGACATTTTAGAAAAGCAATGCCTTTTCCAGCTTTAGCCTTCTCCAATCCGTTTCACATTCCCGCAGATGCATCTCGGAAGGAATGTGTTTCGGCTTCTCAGGCTTCAGCTTGTCACGTATGAATACCGATAACTCCACATACTGTCAAAGCCCTGCTACCCTGGGACTGAAGAGCTAGCAAGTAGGTTTTTTTTATTTGCTCCTTCTTGTCCTTTCCCACTTACTACTTACATTTCAACTATTTTACTATATTTCACAAGGTGAGAATAGATTTTTCAAGGAAAAGGAAATTCAATAACCTGTCTTTCCTTTACTCTTGGTAAAACTCTACTGCAAGCAGCAGTCAAAAATACAGGCTAAGCAAGTTTTAGGGTTGCATAATGAATTTTTCACTTAACTAAAAGTTCACATAATTAATTTTTCTCTAACAAAATAAAACTTAGCCGATCTTACTTTATTTCCTAATTTTAAAAATGTTTTCTTAAGAGAAATGTCTTCAAATTTCCAAGTTATGTTGTACTATTTTTAGCTATTTATTATTATGTCTTAATATTAAAACAAATGAACTTATGCATTAAGTGATACATATCACTATATTACATTATGCAATCAATAGATATGGATACAGACATGGATAGAACCGTCTATATCACGTAGGTGTATTAGTTTTTACCTGAATGTCCCCCCAAGGCCTCTTGCGCTCCTAAGTGGGGCTTTGGGGAGGTGACTGTCTCATGGCCGCATGATGCTTAGCAGCGGAGTAGCCTACCGCTGGGTTTAAAGCTAACTGTGATGTTGGGAGGTGAAGCCTGGTCAGAGGACACAGGGAGTACGTCCTGTGTTTATCTGTCTCCACTCTGCTCTTCCTCTTTCTCCTTTCTCTCAGCCACTTCATAAGCAAATCTTGTCTTCTCTGCCATGGCCCTCTGCCAAGTCAGCCTGCCCTGGACCCAGTGACTATGGACTGAAACCTCAACTATGAGCCAAAAGAAACCTTTCTCTCCTTGATTTCTGGATTGTATTGTTCCAGTGACAAAGAAAGTAAGACAATAGACTCTACATAGTATATATTATACACTAAAATCATATATATGTGTATATATACATATATATATACACACACACACACACACATATGAGAGAGGTATTTTGCTGCTCTTAAGCTAACATGTGACATTGATCCTGATATTTACTTAAAAGCACTTCATAAAATAAAGAAAGGAAGAAAGGAAGTAACAATAGAGGAAGACCGAGAGTAATGCTGCAGAGGGGAGAAAGAAATAATGGTAAAGGAAGTATGCATTATGGCCAAAGAGAAGAAAGAGACTTGAAAACAGAAAAAGCAATTGATGAGTATTATGATATGGGCCAATGCAAGGTTACAGAGTCCACATACCTATTAGGAACAGACCTTTTGAGAACTTCAGCAGACTCTTTAGTTCAGGTATCTTTCTTCAACCTGTAATATTCTCCATGTGTTTAAATCTAACTTTTTCCACAAGGAACATATATGAGCATCAAAATAGCACTAGACTCAGGTATGCATGCCTTATTTTCAAGCTAAACTGTACCCTCAGATCTGGGACAAGTCCTTAGTTCTTCAACTTTTAGCAAAACTTTGTAATTCAAGAAAGTCTTCATACAAATGTTGATTCTACATGATGGTAAGGAACAGATATAGCTTTCTAAGCCTTGGTACATTTGTTTGTGATTGTCTTGTTGATATGTTGTCAGGATGAAAAGATGTAACATATTACATTAGTCAGATTCTGTCATTATAACAAAATACCTGACACAAACTTTACAAAGTAGAGATTTATTTAGCTCACAGTTTGGGAGGCTAAATGTGAAAATGGCATAATGCATGCAATAGCAAGGGGTTCATGACAAAAACACTGTATCTCAAATCACAAAGAGCTAGCTGGGTGGATTCAGGCTTGCTACTTTCATAACAATCCTTGAGAAGACTAAAGTTCCATTAGAAAATCTCTTAATCCCCTCTAAGGGCAGCCCTCCCCCAATGACCTAAGAACCTCTCATTAGGACTCCACATCATATTCCAATATCCTAGAGGCTAAGCTTCCAACACACAGACCACTTGGGGACACCCAAACCAATCACAAAATCTCATGCTCAGTAGCTGTTCCTAATAAAATGACATAAATGCTTATCTTTTGTTTTCTTTTATTAAGAAAATCAGCCTACATGTGATTGACAAGTGTTCTGTTTTAAATATAAAGTGCCTGCCAATGACTCATGAATTGAAGGTTTAATCCCCAGTGCAGCAGTGTTCAGAGATGAAGCCTAGAGAGGTAAGTGGATCATGAAGGTGCTGATCTCATCAATGGATTTGTGAGCTTGTACCCAAATGAGCTTATTAGAAGGTGGGATCCACTTGGAGGAAGTAGATAGATCACAGCCTCTTCCTCTTTCTCTGGGTCACGTGTCCTCATTCTGCTTCTTGGTTGTCATGAAATGTGCAGCTTTCTTTAACCACTTCTGCCATGATATCCCTGACACAACACAAGCCTAAAACAAGGGCGTAAGCTGATAATGGACTAAAACATCTGAATCTGCTAGCCAAAATATACATCTTCATTTATAGGTTGTGTATGTCAGGTATTTTATCCTAGCAACAGAAAGATGATTACCATAGTGAACCAGATTCTTACACACAACCTCAGACAATTTCTTGGAATAGGAAGGCCTTGCTAACATATTCAGTCCTATCAAACTCTTATATACATGAATATGTTTCATGTTTTCTCTGTATGTAAATTAACAGCCAAAAACGAGCTATTAGAAAATGTTTTAAAACTAGCTAGCCATCACTGTGGAGGAATATGTGCAGAAAAGATCAGAAACATACATACATAAGAGAGGGACAGCAGTAGACAGTTTTGAATTCACATGCACTGAGCACTCTGTGGCCCTATGTTTACGAAAATTTGGAAATTGCGTACTGAAAGTTTTTGCATTACTTATGGAAAAAATAAGCCTAACAGTAAAGCTTAACTTAATAAATAAATTCTACTATGTTCCAGTAAAATTAATTTACTGTTTAGTACACAACTCATGTCACAGGCAGCCACTTTGTATTCATTTGTTTTATTTTTCTAAGGAGATTATAAAGGTTAACTCCATTTTAAAATTTGAGAATAACTGAACCTCACAAGCTTGAATGACTTAGTGACATATATATTAAGCATTAGAAAGAAGACAAACTCAAATGAACAAATATAAATACTATTTTTTTTAAATGAGAATTGAAAATGTTCCTTAGAATAGAGAGGAAAAGTCTTAACAAATGACCTCAGGGAAAATATGTCTTTGTTGCCGCAGCAGAACATTGAAAATAAAATAACTTTTATTCGTGGATATCTTGAGTAGCAACACAGTATATTGGCTTTAGACAATTTTCTTGGGAAAAACTGTCATCTTTGAATCTTGTTTCATTTTCTTCACCTGAAAAATGTGAATGAAGTATCTCAGTGGGTTGTTTTCAAAATACATCACAACTGCTGGCAAAGCTTTTAGAAGGGTATGTGTGCACAGAATAAACAGGAAATTATTATATGTCCCTATTCTTAACATCACTGTTATTGTTACTGTCATTTAAAAAAACTGTCATTGGAGGCAGTTTCTGTATTATAACTGATTTTTCCCCAGAAGATAAAGCATTTCATTTTCTTTTTGACAACATATGCATTCGTGCATATTATTCTAGTCCTGTATATCACATTTATCAACATAGACATCATTTTGATAATATACTTGAGATTGTATTTAAAAGTACTTGTATATCCTGTCTGTGATAGATTTGAAGCCCTTTAAAATCTGCAAAGTCAGTACTGCTCAAGTTAAAGGCATGTACTCTAGAAGGTAGCTGTTTCCACTGAAGTATTAGAACATATGTTGATACAAAACAATTACCTCCTCTCATGGCTAAAACCTCTCTGAGCACTAATAATATTGTTTCAAAGGTCCCTTACTCTAACCTGCTAATCCTTTATTGCTTTCCAAATCCATCCACTGTGAATCCAAAGTTTTAAACCTAAACAATATAATTTCAATATATTTTTGAATTTTCAGGATTATTCCATTTCATTTTAGGCTTCATAGATTTGATCTTCTCAGACTTTAACACTTTAAACTAGGTACAGTTTTTTGGATTAATCACCCAAAGCATTTGAAACAGTCATAACTGATTATTGGCATGGAAACAGACATTAAAAACGACAAATACTGTGTCATTTTTCTTTCTCTGAATCTACTGTTCTGGCCATGTGAGCCCTGAAAATGTTACCTGGGCTCATGTTGACACTCTTGACATACCGCAGTTTCACTCTGGGACATAATTTTACATCTTGAAAAGAGGGATATTCACTTGTAAAGTACACTCAGCTGTGATTTTCCCTAGAAACTACTGACACACACCCACCAGCACACATATACAACCTTTTATTTTCTGAACCTGAATTTAAAATCTACTAAGTTTGTTTTGCAAGAGAACAATGAATAAGTGGGGGAACCAGTTAGATGTGGACAATATTTTAAGTAATATTATCTGGTGGTAACATTCTTGCAGTTGATTTTTTCATGTGCCTAGTAGTTTTCTAACCATTATTGCATTCTTTCCTTATTACTGTCCTATTTCCTTATATATTGATGTTTATTGCCTCAATTCGTAGGTAAGGATATGAGTTGTAAAACATTTAAATAATTCTAGTTTGCCCAATAACAAATAGGTAGTAAGTACCAGAGCAGAAAGTACATCCTCAGTTTCTATTACTCCAGTATTTGAGCTTCTCATCATTATAAACACCCACAATAGAAATAACTTATTATTTTATTGGGTTGAATGGTGTTCACAGAAAAGTCTCCTAACTTTTGGAGTACTAAAATTTGTTTTCACATTTGACAATATGGATCAAGAAAAATAAAGAAATGTATTATTCTTGTACTGTGAAAGAAATTCAGCAACATTCAGAGAAATGGAAGCCACACAAAATAAACACAATTATTTTACTGTCAATAAAGATAAATATTACCAATTTTTTTCCAACTAGAGTTCATGTTTAATTTCCCACCAGATGTTATCATAATGACATTTCCAGTAAATCACATTAAATAAGGTAACAAAGGCTTAGAAAAGTATTATGATGTGCAAGTTTATGTTGTTAAATTATCAATGTCAATAAAGGATATTGACATAAATGCAATTATTTTGCAAAATAATTTGCAAAAAGAGATATTTCCTGTGTTTGATAGTATTCTGGTTTTTATCCATCAAAATGTTAATTACAGCCAATCATTAATATCAAGTCTTTTCTATCTTTCATTACATAATACATGCTGTGAGGAAAAAGATATACCTGTTTTCTTATCCACTTTTTTATCATAAAATATGCAAATCATTTCCAGTGTTTAAAACTTCTCATTACAATCTTCCAATTATTTATAGTGTTATGAAAAAGTTTTCACTACAGATTGAAATTTGGAAATATAAATGATAACATTTAAAATTTTTGAAGTTGGGCCAGGGATTTAGCTCAGTGGTTCCAGCGCCTGCCTTGCAAGTGCAAAGTCCTGAGTTCAATCCCCGGTACAAAAAAAAAAAAATTTGAAGTAAAATATTATTTGTCACTTTAATACATGCCTCACAGATATGTTCAGTAATTAAAAAGAATGAAGTGGTACAAACAACAGTATAGATGAATATTGAAAATATTATGTTGTATGAGATAAGCAATATATGAAACAATATGTACTGCCTAATATCATTTATATGCATTTCAAAATAATGCCAAACAAAGACCTATGGTTGTAAGAATGCTGCTTATGGGAATGGATATTGTAAGTGGCCAAGAGAAAACTCCTGAGGAAATGGAAATGTTTTATATATTAATTACGGTCACTGTGTGTAGATGTATCAATTTTTCAATATGAAGACCTTTTTAATTCACTAAGCACAGGCTATCACATGCACATCAGGACATGCCACATTACACACTGTCCATGCAAATACGGATTTGTGACAAATATCCCAAATTTGCTGAATTGTAGCAGAGCTATTTTTCTATATTTCTCTTAATATATAAGAATACATATTATGTACAGTATAACATATAAATTCTTTAATTTGTTGCTACAATTGGAATATATTTTCTTTTATCAGCCAATGCAAGTAAGAAAACTAAGGAGAATTTGACAACATTCTTCTCTGACTCAAAAAAATATCCATGTCCTTAGATTGACATGAACCTGCAAGCACAGACCCTGAGAAAACTGTTCTGATTTCTCAGATATCATTTTATTTTCCTTCACCCTCATATATTCAGCTCCAATAACATTGAAATACAACTTCATGATCCCAATTCAGGGCTTTGGAAAAGATTGTTCCCTAAACTTAAAATGCTCTTCTGCATATTTACACATGCCTAATTACAGGTGCCTGTAGGTGATGGTAACCCCTTGCGACAGAACAAGACAAGAAATTATAAATAGCACTGCACATGTCAGTTCTATATGTCAGCAATCACAGAGATGGTTTGGCCAACCTTGCCTTAGGAAATGTGATTCAGTCCATACACAAGAGATAACAAAAAGCCTGGACCCCACAGAGAAGTGGAAAGAGCTCTGGGATAGGACTCAAAACATTGACATTTAATCCTATTCTTACACTTAGTAACAGAAATACCATATAGTTTCAAAAGTAATAACTGACGTTAAGGATTACTCTCCTTTTGTCTTTTTAGGCACTATGATTTGTGCTCCAATTTCTGGTAATTTCACTATACATTAAGACATTTTGTGCAAGACTTTGGTCTCTCAGTTCTGTGACATTTTAATACTTGGTAGTTTTAGGCATCTTCAAAATCAGCCTCCCATTTATGTTTTTATTTTAACTGTTATCCATGTGTAATATCATGCTTCATAATCATGATAACTTCACACATATTTTAACTCTCTGCTTTCACTTAAAATAATAGTCCTAAATATACTCAAATTGTGGTCTCTTCCCTCACCATACCTGAACAGGTAAACATGGATAGAAGAAAACACAAAACCATATAGAATGGACTCACATTAAATTTGTAATGAAAAATTTCAAAAGCTTTCAGTGCTGCTTGATAATCCTTATACATTTTTCCCATTGTGGTCTCCTAATCAATGAATGAGTATTTTACATATAATTAATTTCTTCTCAAATAACTACATTTTATCACTCCCATGGGTTAACTTTCCTTGTGATTTAACTGAGAAAATACAAAAATTAGAAGAGGATTATTTTTTTCTTCCATCACTAAGATTCCAACTTTTCTCCTTCTAAACAGTGTGAATAGTGTCACTTCATAGTGACTGTAATGGATGTATTACTCGAATACTCTTGATCACTTCCAGGTTAACCTTGCACAGAACCCCATCTTCCAATGCCTTCTAGGAATTTTTTCTCTAATAATTCCCTTTTCCTAACTATCATAGTACCTCTCTCTCTAATTTATGGCATATAACTTGGGAGCATCCTAAAAAATTCAATTTAATTTATTTTTTCAGATATAATCCAATTTCCCCTTTCACTTTTTTTAATAATTCATCAGAAGCATTATCTATTTCAACTTTCTTCTCATTATCTTTGTTCTTAACTTTAAAAGATTTAATTCCCAATATTTTAATAAAAATGGCCTGGCTTGATTTCAATGTTACCAATACTGTATCTCAGAAAAAATTGATCTCAGCAAAACTAACACTCTGACAGATTTACTTACTTCTTTCCTGAAATACTCCCTTAACTTGGTTTTTTAGATATTGTGCTCTTAGTATTTCTCTCATAAACCAATATCATTAGGAATTTTAATTATTTTCCTTTGTTAGAATCTTTTCTACTCACTAACTCCTACCGTTTTAAATTTTGACAGGCAATTTCTGTAATCCTCGTATTTCAATAAACATGTTCTACCCAAGCTATTACATATAAGTTCATTGTTTAACTATTAAATAATAATACATGTTGACCATGTCCAAAATTTTATCTTCAATACAGATTCATTTGCAATAGTCAAGACTAATTTTATATATACCTG